ATCCCATGTGCACTCGGTAAACCAAGACTACTGTAAAATCAACAAGTTACAAATCAACAACTTCTACTCCAATAGATCATGAAATATGTTTTAATTTCTGTCATGACACCTAGTGCGTAGAAGAAGGTGTTCATACAATTGATGTTTAAACCCACGACAGCGTGACACTAATGTTTTAGTTTGTATGCATATATGAGTTCATTAGGCCATTAAAATATCATGTGGGACAGGGGAAGAAGGTATAATTACAAGGAGTCCATCAAAAGACATGATCTGGAGACATCGTTGCCTCACCCTCATAACATCCTATCATTGAACCAAGACCATTAATCAACGAGAAGGAGACAAAATAGTTAATCAACAAGGTAAACAATAACCTCATACTTCTTGTTTTGATTGTTTCCTTCCCTTACAGACAACAATAATTGGTACCCTTTTTGGTCCATGTAATACATTTGTCACGACTAGTAGCACAAGGGGAAAATAATATCTATGTTCTATTTTCTTTTTTCCAAGTCATTTTTACAAGGCGAGGAAAAAACCATCCATTTGAACCACCAAAATGGTAGCGCGGAATGGGAAGGAAGCTGAAGTTATCATCCACATGTCAAGTGAGGATAGGTTAACTCACAGCAGCCTCAAATGGGACATCACTTGAGAACTATAAATGAAGCAAAAACGATGCATGTGTGGTAAAGAGGCCCATACAAAGGTTGCTGTAGGAGATAAGATTGTGTTAGTGCTAACACCTGCAGTGAAGAATGGCCTCTGCATCACCATCTCTGCTCAAGTCTTCACTTGTTCTTGACAAGTCTGAATGGGTGAAGGGTCAAACCCTACGCCAACCTTCTGCATCAGTTGTGAGATGCAACCCCACCACCCCTTCAGCCCTCACCATCAGGGCTGGTTCCTATGCTGATGAGCTTGTTAAGACCGCGGTATGATAATAGAAAGTCCTGTTTTTCTATTTAACTTTTTCAACAGTTAAGTAAAGTAAGTTCATTGTAGCTTATAAAGAAGTTAAATGCATTTTACCCTTTTCTAGTGTTTATGAAAAAGTTTATCTGAACACCCACCAGATATTAAAATCATCTTGGATTGAACTAAATTTAACTTTTCATACCCATAATCCATTTTCTCCTTAGTCCAGAGAATTTCTTGTTTTTCAACTGACTTTGTTAGAATTTAAAGGATAAATTTTAGTTGTCACTGTCAAACTTGAGATTATGCTTATTAAGTATGAGTATAGTAACTATGAAGAAGTTTCTTCACTTTATTCTCTAAAGCATGTTCTTTTTTACTTTTGAAGCTAAATCTCTGTGGTTGTTCCCAGAGTATGGTTCACATTGTTGATACAATAATATTTTGCTGTGTGTGGAAACAGAAAACCGTGGCTTCACCAGGGAGGGGTATTTTGGCCATGGATGAGTCCAATGCTACCTGTGGGAAGCGTTTGGCTTCAATTGGGCTGGAGAACACCGAAGCTAACCGCCAGGCATACCGTACCCTCCTTGTGACAGTTCCAGGCCTTGGTCAATACATCTCTGGTGCCATTCTCTTTGAGGAAACTCTCTACCAATCCACAATTGATGGCAGGAAGATTGTCGATGTGCTCATCGAGCAAAACATTGTTCCTGGTATTAAAGTCGACAAGGTAAGAATTTTGGAATCACCCTGTCCTTCCTTTACTATGTAGCTGCTGACACCTGAAATAACAATGAAAAGAATAAGCATAAGTGTTGATGGATGCTACTATGACATCTACTTATGCTTAATTGTACTATCATTCAGATATTTGTTAGTGTCCATATAAAAAGATGTTTCATGCCTCACATAAACAGTGGTTAGTTATAACATTCCGGGGGTTAGCTTTTTCTGTAGTTCACAATAGTGAAAATTTGAATGCTAAACTAAAATAGAGGATTTTAATCTGTATGTATAGCAGTGTGTGTACTTTTAACACATGGTCTATGTGCTTGGGACAACAGGGTTTGGTTCCCCTTGCTGGCTCCAACGATGAGTCGTGGTGCCAAGGTTTGGATGGTCTTGCCTCTCGCTCAGCTGCATACTACCAGCAAGGTGCCCGTTTTGCCAAATGGTAAGCATTCATTCCCCTTTTTTGTGGCAGTATAATCATTCGTAGTTTTATGCTCTCCTTTTCTTGTACTACACATTATGGTCATTTTTTCATCTTATAAATTCATAATTTCATATTAGGCGTACTGTTGTGAGCATCCCCAACGGTCCCTCTGCTCTGGCAGTTAAGGAGGCAGCCTGGGGTCTAGCTCGCTATGCTGCAATTGCTCAGGTGAGAAAACCACTCAAGTTATATATTAGTGATTTCATTTTTTTTTTGTTATAGCTACACTTCTATTTATAGATGTGAGGTAATAGGATACTTTTTATATAAGCCTAGGAAGAGGACCTATACATTTCCACTGATTATGAAGGGCTAAAATGTTTTAATTTAATGGTTTTAGGACAATGGATTGGTTCCAATTGTGGAGCCAGAGATCTTGCTTGATGGGGAGCACAGTATTGATAGAACTTTTGAAGTGGCCAAAAAGGTCTGGGCAGAGGTTTTCTTCTACCTTGCTGAGAACAATGTCCTTTTTGAGGGTATTCTCCTCAAGCCTAGCATGGTTACACCTGGAGCTGAGTCCAAGGACAAGGCCAGTCCTCAGACAGTTGCTGATTACACCCTCAAACTCCTTCACAGGAGAATTCCCCCTGCTGTCCCTGGAATCATGGTAAGTGACACTGCCAAATGCATAATTCTTTGCATTCCTTACTTCCCTTTCATGTGCTAACCAAAGTTGTCTTGTGCAGTTTTTGTCTGGTGGACAGTCTGAGGTTGAGGCTACCCTCAATTTGAATGCCATGAACCAATCTCCAAACCCGTGGCACGTGTCATTCTCATATGCCAGAGCCCTCCAAAACACAGCCTTGAAAACATGGGGAGGGCGCCCAGAAAATGTGAAGGCAGCACAAGATGCACTCCTTTTCCGTGCCAAGTCCAACTCACTGGCTCAGCTTGGGAAGTACACTGGTGAGGGTGAATCTGATGAAGCCAAGAAGGAGTTGTTCGTCAAAGGCTACTCCTACTAAGATGTTTGTAGTGAATATGATACATGTTAGGCAGCAACACCAGCAGTTGCAGTAGGTGTTGACGGAGGATGAAGTGGAAGACTAATTTGTCTAAAATGTAATGTTTTTATAGTCCTGGAGACTATTTTTGTCTATGGTTTACATGCACCTTCACAACTTAATAAACCTTTTGCTACGAGGAGTTGTGTACTTCAATATGTCCCCATGTATAACAAAATGGTTGAATCTCGGCAACTACGAAAAACCTCATCAAAAAATAGTTCGAAGATTGAAAAAACTCGTTTCCATGGACTTTAACTTATGAACATGACCCCTCTATTCCTCTTTAAAAGAACATGACTTCTTCTTTGCTAAGGCTCAAGAACAAACAACTTTTAATCCCCAAGGAAGATATAATCTGTCCAAGTCAGCCAGAAGACATCTTCAACATGCCAATAGCATATATCACAACTTCTCTACTGGACTTTTGAAGACTGATACTCTACCACGTTTCATATTTGTCTATAACAACCTAAATAATAACTGTAATATATTGATTGCATTTTGATTTAGGCAACAATGAATCTTCAGAGAAATGCTACATGGCAAATTTTCTTTTCCTTTTTAATAAAATTAAGTTATTTAGACTCTAGAACACAACAATTTATTATGTGTTTCAGGACACCATTTATGTATGGTCTTAACCAGTTTGAAGATGATGTCAAACCATCTAATAATTTCTCGTAAGTCAGAAGATAGTAGTTATACAGAATCAAAATATAAGAGAGTACTAACTCATTCAATATTTAACGAGCATGGAAAACAGTTGTTGTATTACACATTTCATTTCTCAAGTCTAATTACAAAAAATTGGGTTAAATGTTACAAATTAACCTAATTTATGATGAATAGTATGTATACACATTGAATAAATAAATAAAAATGCTCTGTTCATCCAGATTTTAAAACATAAAAAATGTCCATTTTGTAGTGTTTCATTATTGGTGTTTAATGTGCTCGGATTCTCTCCTTTTTTTTTTAATTTCAAAACCATAGTTTGGACAAAGCTTACGGAAGACGAGTTTTAGCTCAATGCATGCAGCTTGGGAACAGAAATCCAAACCCATTCCTAATGATAATCATATGAAACAAGAATCATGTGAATTTTCCCCAACAAACCAACTTCAACTATTGCAACTGTATCTCATCGAGGAGGTGGAGTTAATCAATGTCATTGGATTCTGTCTAAAATAAAGTTTGTAATAAAATCACTCAGAACAAGGTCTGATTATTAGTTTTTGAAAAATTATCTTTAAGACTGCGAATTGACAGATGAAAAAGAACGAAACAAGGTGAAACAAATTATAACATGGTATTACTAAATTAGTATGCTTATATATGCAATTCAAATTCTTTTAACATGAATTTGTCTTCTATTAAGGAATTTAAAATATTTATAGCTTTATTTAACTGTACTGAACCAAATCTAATAGCTTTAGAAAAGCACTTTTCATCATAGATGAATTTTGAGAGATTTTTGAGAGATGAATTTTGAGTGAGTATCATTGAAGGATATAGATACCTTATGTTTATACAAGGTCTACATCTACAATCAACACAATTAATAACTAACCTGTCAAACATAGATTCAGTGATTTACTATAATGGATAATAGCTTAAAGTCACACCGATATAATAAGAACCAAATTCAGCCAGGTTACCCCCTCAAGGCACTTGCACAGTCTAGAGCTCATTTAATTATAAATATTAAAGAAACTTATTCGAGTATCTTGCGTGAATGCGTAAGCAATATTACAATATTGACTACAAAATCTACCATGGTCCAAAACCACTAGGCCAATTGAAAAGGCATGGGCTAATGTTGGTAACCTAAAGAAAGTCACTACAAAGTATCAACTTGCTTCAGTTTCAACTTTTAAGCCACTATCTATTGGACTCGTTAAGTTTGTTGAGCTTTCTGATGCTTTTACTACATTTGGTAGGTACTTCCAACAGCGTTTGTGAACTCCACTGATTTTTTTTGGAGCATCGGCTAATGGCAAGCCTGCAATATGTTGTCCGATATCAAATCAAGCCAGAAAACAAGTACTAAAACTGTTTCAGTATTTATGCAATGCTTCATATAATCTACACTTTATTTTAGGTACATCTTGTTTCACAAAGTATTCACTGAGAATTTATCAAATAAAGCTGTCAAATTCTACATTGCCAATTTAGAAAATATTCACAGAAAATGCATTGTCAAATAAAAAATAATAATATGATTTATAATTGAGATAAAAATTAATTTGATAAGGAACATGAATGAAACAAACAAACAAAGTTATCACCAACACAAGCAAATGTAATGGGCATCATTTAACCGAACTTATGCACACAAGCACAATCCTCTCAGAAGTTCTTTACAAGCCCAAAACAACTGTTAAAACACTCTTCAAGGGTTCTCCACCTTGGCAATACAAACACTTCTATCAAAATTCATAAAAATATGTTTACAGTGGCGGTAAGAATAGATGAAATGGAGAACTACATGAAATTTTGGGAGAATCAATTTGGTATTATGCAAGGTAGGACCGTGTATGCTGAATTGAGCCATAAATAACTCCAACAGAACGTCCTAAGTGAATGCATAAAACAACATAAACCAATTCAAAGTAAAAACTCCGTGTTTCCATGTGAGAATCCACAAGCATTATACAAACAATATTGCCAAAATGGAGAGAAGCAGGAAAGTCAATGCAGTATCAGTTAAACATTTCTACCTTCTACGACATTGTATTTCATAATTGATAGAAATGCACATTCTAATTTGCAACTCAAAAAGGCAATGAAGCTTGCCCGTCAGATGAAACTCAAAACACTCTAAAGTCCTCAATTAAAAACTCCCTACATTTCCCTACATTTAAAAATCCTAAATGGCCATTGAATTAGTCTAGTCTAGCCTAGACTAAGAATAACAGTGCAGTATGAATATCAATCCCTTCAACAAACAAACTCTGCTGAACATAGAATTGGAAAAAAAAAACGGAATATCCAAAAGTCAAAAACACTTCTAATACAACTTATGACACTAACCATTTTTATAAGCAATCCCCCATGCTTTTCCATGCCTTCCATCCTGCAAAAACATATGTAAAATAAAATTCAAAAGAAAAAGACTCATGGGAACTGAGAAAAGCAGAGGAATAACTCATTGAGAAATACAATTTGAAAGTTAAAATCCGATACAAACAATACAAGGACAAGAAAAAGGTTGAGGATCGAGAGATAAACACCTTGTAGAGATTGAGTTTAGTGATTTCGTAAGAAACCTCATTCCAGTGAGCCTTGGCCATGTGGTAGCCAATTCCCCAGTTGGGTAAGAACTGAGCCACCTCAAACAAGTTCTTCTTTCTTCGCTTTGATTTCTTAGGGTTCTGTGCAGAAGGAACAGAAGAAGTAGAAGAGGAAGAAGAGCTAAAGGCTCTTATGAAGTTGAGCGGACACCTCGGTAGAAGAGAGTTTCGAACTCTGCTACCCAATGCACTTGCCATTGCTTTTCTGTTAAAATCCCAATGGAGAACCAAATGCAAAATGTCAAAATGCATGCACCTAATTTTATATTATGAAATGCAATGCCATATCTACATCCTATGCCCACAATACATTGCATGACAAAAACAGTCGAGCTGGAACAGCTAAATGACCAACATAACACCGCATGTGGGACTTAGTCCATTCAGCCTACATGATTTGAAGGTTTATTTAAAGGAAAATTCTTCATAAATATTTTTATAATAGAAAAATATCAGAAATTGATTTCATTTTTTTTTCTATGAAAATTTCCCTAACCAGACCCCTAAATTACTTCTATAAAACTGTACAGCATCGCCGCAAATAAGATATCCAGATCACGTGAAAACAAAGATAAACAACAATTGCAGCAAATGAAGGGGGAAGAAATGAATCATGGATCAAACTGAATTTTCCCCTTTTCGACTTTTACGGGTAACTGAAGTTAATCATTCAAATGGATTCAAAAATTACCAAAAAATAAAAATAAATACAAACAACGAATGTCAGTAACATATGCTCACTTGTTTGTTAATGTGCAGATTGAGATTTGTGACTACTGACCGAACAATCGCAACTTGTTCGTGCTTGACTACCTCGTGGGCCTTGGTATTGGTTGTGCACTGTGTGACACCGCTGAACCCTAACTTGTTTCAGTTAATAAAAAATTAAAAACAGAGATTTGAAGTAGAATGGCAAATTTATTCACTTTTTTTTCCGGTAAAGTATCAATTCTAAATAAATTAAAATTAAAAATTTTAAAAATTAAAATAGTTTTAATTTAATTCTAAATTTTAAATAAATTAAATCAATTTTATAATAATAATGTTTATCTCTTATTTTTATTTAAAATATACGTTAAATAAAATGAGTGTAAATAACTACTCGTAAATCTAATTATAATAAAATCATATTTACACTTTTTTTTAATTTTAAAATTATTTTTTATTTTTTTAATAAATGATATTGATTTTTCTTATATTTAAAAATAAGTGATATTTATTTTGAAATACTATATCAACTAAAATTTAAATAAAAATCATGAAAAATAAAAATTAGAGTTTTACAACATAAAAATTAAATATTTTTTATAGATAAAATGTTTAAAATAAAGAAAGATAACAACTTTAATAAAAAAATATAATTATTATAATAGTATGTTGAAAAATTACGGGAATATAAATGTAATTTTATTATAAAATACAATAAATGTGTTAATTTAAATACGAAGGGAATATGAGTATGATTTAATAGAGTTCTTAGGAGGGATAAATGTAATTTTTTCAATTTATTAAATTATTATTATATTTATATATTTTTCTTATGTGTGAATGAAAATTAATAAAGGATTTGAAGAGATTAGTGGATCGTATTTCGAGTTTTAATTATAAGATGTTGAATGATTTTCTTTTAGAAAAAGTAGAGTTCATTTCAAAATAAGTATTTTGATGTTCAAGTTAGTTTTTAGACAAGAGTTTGGTGTATTTGAGAATAACTCATAATGTGATATTTACTTTTTATAGTTTAGTCTTTTTATATAACATCCAAAAAATAATAATAGATCAAAAGATAATAATTGATAATAAAAAAGATAATAACCGATAATAAAAAGATAATAACCGATATATTATGTTATAAAAGATAATAAAAATAATGCGTAATAAGATAATAAATAAAAATACTTTAAAGGATTTTTGTCGTAGGTATACAAGTCCTTCAAACTCGGAGATCGAGTTCCTTTAGGAATAAAGGTCAAACAAGTTTAAGGTTGAATTGATCATTTTTCATTAAAACGAGTAGTACTCAGTTTAAATGTGTTTATCTTATAAATCATTATTCGGTTAGACAAATATATATTCATGAAATTTACTCACTATAACCTAAAAACTTTAGGAAGAGGAGAGAGGAGCTCGATACGCCCTCATCAACCCCCAAGCTCAAGAAGATCCTCTTATGAATACTAGAACTTCGTTGATTTGGAAAATGATATACATTTGTCATATATATGTAGTATGATTATAAAGTTATAAATCATCTTGTTTATAGACTATATAGTTGTTAGTAAACTATGTAAATGTTATATTCGTGACTCCACTTAGAGTTTTTAAGACGCAAATTTTGATAACTTGTATATTCGAATAAGGTACGTATATTAGTGTGATCTCAAGTAAGGTAGATATAACTTTTGATAACTCATATACTTAAATAAGACATATATAACTCGTGTGACCATGAAGAAGATATGTATAATTTGTGTGACTCCGAGTAAGATAGATATAATTTTTTGATCTCATATACCGGATTAAGGTATGTATAACTCGTGTGACCCCGAGTAAGACATGTATAACTCATGTGACCCTAAGTAAGATAGATGCAAGTTTTTATACCTGATTAAGGTATTTATAACTCGTGTGACCCAAAATAAGGTAGATGCAGGTTTTGATAACTCATATCGAAGTAAGGTATATATAACCCATGTGATCCTGAGTAAGGTAGATGTAGGTTTTTATACTTGGTTAAGGTATGTATAACTTGTGCGATCCTAAGTACACTATGTATAACTCAGGTTTGTGCAGGGTTTATGTAACTTGACTTTATATGATGTGCAGGATTTATATAACTCATTTTCTAAGTGGAATATATCTTATGACTAGTTTGTTTGAGTTAGGTATAATTTTATACTCGTTACTTCGAGTTGAACATTATTTTTATACTCGTTTGACCTTGAGTAAGGTACATTCTTTTATTCGTGTGACCTTGAGTAAGATACATTTTTATACTTGTATGATCCTGGGTAAGATTATATTATATTTTTATACTCGTGTAATCCAGAGTAAGGTTATATTACATTTCTATATATTCATGATCCCGAGTAAGGTACTACATTTATACTCATGGTACCTTGAGTAAGGTATAAATTTTATAATTTTTACAACTCTAAATTGTTACGAATGGAGTGTGTAAGAGAACCAGATCAAATGGGTTCCTTGATTATATCTTTGACTCGTTGGTACTAGTCGGTAATATGGTCGTAATTCCGATGAAATTGATAGTACTTAGTGGTATTAGCATGAGCCGAAGATCATAAAGGTGGTGGTTCACACACCAATTCAAGTTTGAAAGTCTGTTGTAATATGTTTTCTCTACTAGAATTCAAAGGTGTGTAATGTTCATATTTATCTATCCTAGGTTTGTTTGGAGGATTAGGATGAGTATGCTTGAGGAGATGTGTCCTTTGTTTTAAATCTAGTGTTGTTGTCTTCCATGTGGATATAATTGGCTGCTCGGTTGCACAGTTCATCGAGGGTTCTCGGTGAATAGGCAAAACAATTATCAATCAAGGGTTTGGGTTATAAAGCGACTTGTATTAGGTCTAAGGCAACAACCAGAAGCGGAGAGAAGGGGTGGCATGGTGGGGTCATGATCACCCCAAACTTTAATAATTTTTCTGAGTACTATGAATAAAAAAAATATATTAGCCCCCCAAAGTCTTCTTTAAATTCGGCTTCCCATCAACTAAAGTTTTGGCCCATGAAAATAAATTTTTGTCTCCACCCCAACAACAACGGGGTACAAGTTTGGTAAAGAATTTGATACTTTGGTGAATCGTACCATGAAATTGTAGAGGGATCCACCCTTATCCTGTTTCACACTTTTTAAAGTCACCAGAGTGAGTTTGTGCATATTACTAGCTGCAAACCTAACTCAAAATATTTCTATTAACCTTTAGTATAAATTGATAAAGTTATATGGTAAAGTGTTATATCATCGTAAGGTTGGTCCTCGCAACGTGGTAGGAAAACTTGGCATCGGACTGCTTTGTTATTAGTATACAAATTTACATGTGCTTTGTACATTACTAAATTTGTTGGATTTGTCGAACCATCATTCTTGTCTAACATTAGTAGTTCTCAGTTAGTTGGGAGAGGGGTTTCCATTATTCCTATAATGAATTGGTGATCGTTATCCTCCTCACAAATTTTGATTTTTCATCTATGTTGAGAGTGTGTAGGTTGAAGTCGAGGTAGGGCTTCCACTATATGTTCTCTCAGATATGGGAATTGAACAATTGTTTCATTAGTGTGCTTATGCTTGACAATCTTCCTTGAGTGTCTCCTTCTTACTTGACTTGGTGGCTTGACATATAGTTTGGAAAGGTTTTTTGACCTATGCTCAAGTTTACTTTTGGCTTTCTCCGAGTTTCAAATCATTGAGTGCGTTTTGCTGGTTGGTGTTAATGATTGTTGGGTTCACGCTTAACCGATGTTGCAGTATCTTCCAACTATATGTTCCGCTTACTCACCCAGGGTCATTTGTTAAGGATCTATTTTGGAAATTTTAGAGCTCAACCTTGTATTGTTTTTTAACTAACTTCAAATCTTCTATTACTTGTTGTTAGACTATTTGTTGTTATTTTCAAACTAATTCCAATTATTTTGTTGCTTTTTGTTTGTTTTGCAAAAATTTAGTGTTATTATATTCTTGCAGATTTTTTATCTCCTCATGTTCCTTTATTGATATTTGTCCATATATTTTTTGAGGTTGTCGAAGACAGTTATGGGATTCATGTTAACATTTGAATTTGATATGGTTTGACTTCGAGTTAAGATCATGGAATGTGTGGGGATCGTTTTTGTCTGTCGCACAATGGGCGTCAAATGTTTTTACCGGGCGGATGGAGATCGACAAGAGGATGTGAGAAGATCAGTGGACCGTGTTCAAGCTTCAACTTCGACTTCTAAACTTCTAAGATGTTGAATAACTTTCTTTTGAAAAGAGTAAATGATATGAATCACAAGGGATGATTTAGGATCTTTAGAGTTAGAACCTTGTAAGAAATTTAGGAATTAGAAAAAGGGTGGAAGGAAAGAATCACTCTTCCCAAGGAAGGCAACACACAAAAGATGTGAAAGTTCTTTGATACAGCTAAGGGTTCTTGAATCACTCAAGAATATAGGAGAATCACTCTCACTAAGATAAAAGAGATAAATTCTAATGTTTCTAAAAATAAACTCAACTTGTTATTTCTGATAAAAATGGTTCAACTTATAAAGAAGTTTTGCCATCAGAGTTACAAATATTTATTAAAGGAAAATAAACACTAATAATGATTTATTAACCTAAGAATTGAAAACTACTTAATAATTAATTGTAACTGAAATTGTGACATCCAAAAGTCAATCGCCTATGCACCTTTTGGTCTCCCAAATACTGATAACTAAATTTCATTGCAATAAAACTAAACTAAAGTCCATTAATTGATCAATCCAAAACACAATTTGGTCAACCAATAATAATTGATGAAGAGCTTCATTTACTTCCCTTGTTCTAGCCCTTATCATAGGTCATGTTCACATCAGTAAAGGTCCACTTGCAAAAAAACACTATGACGATAAACTCAATTTTTAAACCAGAGAGTAATATTATTTAAAAATAAGTGTTAAAGAGATATTCACCGCGTATCCGAATCTCCTTATATATGATCCGGAAGAAAATATAGACTAAAAGATAATAATAGATAATAATTTATATAAAATATTATAAAAACTAATAAAATAATATGTAAAAAATAATAAATAAAATGATTTTAATAGATTTAATAATATAATAAATAAAATAAAATTATTACTTTATTAATAATATAAAAAATAAATAATTATTTAAAAATTAATATGTAATGTTTTTTTTATCTAAGTGTTGTTTTTCTAACTTAATGGTCAGAAAATAATTTTACTTATTATATTGTGATTATAGTTGATAAGGGCAAATTATTGTTACATATTTAAAACTAAACATATTCTTGTTACATAGATGGGCGAAAGATTATAGTTGATTAAGACAAATCTGTGTTACATATTTAAAACTAAACAAATTATTGTTACATATATATGTGCGAAAGTTATTTAGTAGGCCTGGAGAATATATGAGGGATTTTTTTGTTTAAAATTAAAAAAAAATTGTATTTTTAAAACCTTAAGTTTTAACTTTCATTTTCTTTATTTGTTTTTTATTGAATATATTATTTTAAATAAAATAAAGAAAGTTAATATCACTTTATTAAAAATATAAGAGAAAAATTTATATTATTTATTTAGAACAAAAGAAGGTGAATATCTAATTACAAACTTAAAAGAAAAAAAAAGTATATAAACATTTTTTTTTAAATATAGGAAAAGTGTTTCATCTTACAATTAGAGGAATTTCAATATCATTTAATTGTAATTTTCAATTTAATCATATATTTTCTAGTTATATATTTACTTTTATATTCAAATAATATTTTCTTATAAAATATGACATTCTCAAAAATATATTTTTTATAAGAAAATTTATAATTTAGTCACCATATAACTTTATAACATTTTTAATATGTAATAATTAAATAATTCAAAATAGTATTACTTTTCTTATTTTTATATTTAATTCTTTATTTTTTTATTATAATATGTTTTTTAGTAAGATTTTAATTAATACACGTGGAATACTTGTATGTCCGCCGCATTTTTATTATATTTTTATTTTAATTTATTAAAATTTAATATAAATTAAATTTAAAATGTAAATATTTATTCTTAAAATTATATATAAATTGTTGAAGACATTAGATAGAATTTAAAGAAGAATGAAAAGAATGTGTAATTGAAAAAATAAGAAAAAAATAATATTTTCATTGTTTTATATTTAAGAGAAAAAATTGAGATAAACTAAATTGAATGAATAATGGAGTAAAGGAAATATAATGTAAATATAAATTATATTTTTTCTCTCTCCCATGATACTAAATAGTTGTTAAAAAATATCAAATAGATTATATCTAAATGGGTATTATTTTTATTAAAAATATAAAAAAAAAAGTGATAAATGAATGTCTCTTTTTTTTAAAAAAAAAAACTAAGTATATATGGTTTTTTTTTTCATTTCAGTCAAATATGTAGAATAAGATTAAGAAGCTACTTATCAAGATTGAAAATATTTTTCCATAAAATTTGTCTTTTAATTTCAAAAATTAAGAGTTCTCTGCTAATAAATCTATGACAAACTTTTAAATGGATTTTTTTTTTCTAATATTTCCATCAAAATAAATAACTTTGGCATATACTCTCAAACTTATATATATATATATATATATATATATATATATATATATATTCTCCAGAGATTTTGGTAACAACAATCATATCCGGACTCCACCAATACAATCACACCATTTTCTTACAATTCTTCCCCCCAATCAATCCCCTCCTCTCTTCGTAATTTAATAATAAAAAAAAGGTATAAGAAGTCTTTTACTTCAACCAACTCATTCCATTCGTCTTTTAACATTATAAAGAAACAGAAGTCAGCAAATTTAAACAATTGGAGGGTTTAATCATAAATAATAGATGGACATGCTATAAAATATCATATGACCAACAGTTCCTCCGCTGTCAGACTAAGTTTAAGGATGTATTGAAAATGAGCTGCTTTTAAGAAAACGAGGTATATACCATCCAGTTTAAGCGACCTTGATTATGCAGCTCATACATATGAAGCAGCTATTTTCCTTCATTAATTTGGACTGCAGCCAAACAATTCAACTTTAAACACACACAGAAAAGGTCAATAAAAGAAAACTGAGTAAACATAACATTTCTGTATCTATCAGCCTATCCTATGCGTTGTACCTTTATTACTTCTCAGCCCCTTGTTTGCAGGATTCTACTGGCGGCACACTTGCAGATTCATGGTTATTGCCTCTTAAAATATCCATACCTTGTTCCTTAAGAATTAGATTATATGTTAATTCGACAACTAAATAAGTGTCAGGACTTTCTTGTTTCTGTGCGCTTAAGAAAACTAGCTCAATTGAAGGGTCGTGAAATGCATATTACAAAACACCCCTCAATCAAATAACTCAAGTCAAAGTAGAAAAATGGGAAAACAATTACCTGGTTGTTTGGTGTTGGTCCATTTAACCGCAATGGCCTGATGTTGAGATCAATTAACTTTTTATCCATTTTTCCATGAATATCAATATTATTTTCTTGTCTTGGAAGAGGTAAGAAACTGTGATTGTGCTGACTGTCTCTTGATTTTGGTTTGAGTGACTGACTTTCATCCCTTCCGAATTCATTTTGATCCAGCGGTTGCAGCCCTAGTTCTTCCATTTGGGCAGATTTATCACCTGGAAACTGCCATAAAAAAGGCCAAAAACAAGATGCATAAACTTCAAAATATATATTCAGAAGCTAGGAAGATTGCTAAGAAGACTGAAACTTCTTTACATCCTAAAACATACCTCAACTCTTTGCCTCAATAGAAGATATCTTTTATGAGTTCTTTTCCCACCAACATGCACAATCATGTCACATTGCAGACACAGCGAACTACCATCTATCTCACAGTAAAAGAAAGCTGCACATGCAAATTTCCATGGCAAGAAAGAAAGATTCAACTTCTGTATAATTTAGAATGCACATTGACATTCTTACAAAAAGATATGAATACCCTCAGTACCAGGTGCATTTTCACATATGTCACAGCGTGGAACATCTGTGGGGTCAGCAAGGCCAACCCGAATGTGTCTACTAGCAAGTTTATTACACGTATGGATCTGTATCTCCAGCAAACCAAAACACATGCTGTCAGAAAAAAAATATGCATGCAAATATATGGTTCATTAAATTATATACGTTGGTAACAGAAACACTTGACAAAACATGAACAATTGGGTCATAGTAACCATCCAATCAAAACAAAAATATGAAATTAACATGTAGGACGCATTGCTAAACATGGAAAGATTCGAAGAAAACTTGTGGTGCAAAAGCAAAATAGAATTTCATTTGAGTGCATAACTATTCTTGTAAAGTTTTAAATGAGTCTCCATTCCAAATCTTTTCTGAAGTGAATCAATTTCCATATCAAGATTCCATGCAATAATAATTCAAAGCATTTCAGATTCAATGGAGTAAAAATACATCTTAAAAATATATACTGTTTACATAAACTTTTTCCCTCAAACACTTGTAAAATATAGATAAAATTAATCAAATTCTTCGTATACGCTAATTAAATTAAACTTATAGACTTCAGCTTTAGGAGAAGTTAAATAAAAAAGATTTTATAAAAAGTTAACTGTATAAGTATATTTTAGTTTACATTCAAATTATTTTTTTCTTTTTATTTTCGCTTCTTAAGTCTCCTTATTTAAATTATTTTTCATTTTCACTTTCTATATTAATCAAAAAGTATATAGTAACAAAATTGATTAATACCTTGAAAATCGGTTAAAGAAAGCTCAATAAAATAAGAAATTACAGCAATAACATCATCTAAAATGACAGCAAATGTAAATGAAAAAAAAATGAAAAACTGAGAAAATATTACGAACAAGTCAGGGAAACATACAACTTACTAAATGAAAGTTGAAGCAATTTCAGGAGCCAACACCGAATCAAATGAAACAATACAATATTCAAGCGAATTTTACTTCATTATGAATACTCGCAATTTAAACACTGAAATAAAATTCAATCAAAAAAGCAGGACAAAGAGTAAAGAATTGTTTCAAAGTATTTATTAATTTATGGATGAAATTGAAAATGGTTAAGAATAGAATTGGAAGAGGGTGAAAAAAGAAGAACGAACCTTGTGGTCGCAAGCAGAACAGAGAGCAGCCTCATCGGCGGCGCAGAAGAGAATGGCAGCTGCGCTCTCGCAAACGTCGCAGAGGGTTCGCATTATCTCTTTTATGCTCTTCAACCCTTCTTCAATTCTTTATCAGTTTCTTAAAACTTGACTTCATCTAGATTTCGATACTCCATACTTAATGATTCTGAAAAGCTTAAAATTCCTTACACAATAATACTACCACACACACCCATGCGAAACTGAGAAATACTTATGGATGTTTATTTAGAGTGTGTTTATTTTTTTTTAATTTAAATTAAAAGTTGTTTGTTTTTTCATTAATAAAAAATAGTTGCATTTAGAAAGGGATTGATTTCCAATACTATCAATATATTTTACACTATTAAAAAACACAAATAATTTCAATAATTATTGTAATAATAAATAAACTTATCACATATTAATGTATTATTAGATAATAGTATAGAAAATAAATTTATATTATCTACTATTTCTTAAAAATAATTATTAAAATAGAAAAATAATTATATAACATTAAAGGTAAAATAGAAATGGATTAGGTATAAAAAACAGTTACACACATTCATCCTATAACAGATAATTTATTATAGAAACTTTATGTTGATTTTTAAGATAAAAAACAATAATTTTCTCGTACGATTATTTTACTATGATAATGTAATAAATCATATGTTTAAGGAATTTGATGATTTTTAGACTTTATAATTTTTAAATATATTAATGTTTTTTATAGAAATTTGCCTAACAGAGAAAAATACAAAATAAAAAAGTATAAAACACAATGAAGGTCAATAAAAAATAATAAATGTATAATTATACAATTTTTTTCACATTATATGATAGTATTATACTTTCGAAAATATATTCTTAAGCATAAATTTCACAATTTTTTTATGGTTTTAGTGCTGTGGAATTTTAGTTTCAAATGAATTCAATTTCAAAACATAACTAATGAGACCAAAAAGAAAGTTAATCGTTTTATGATACATCATTTGTGCTAGGTTGAAAAGAAAACATTTCAAATATAGCATTTAAAAGTTTTTAAATTTATAATTAATTCAATAATATTCCAAATTACAATAACTTCATAAATCCAATTACACTTCAAAATATAATTTTTTGTCTAATTCAATTTCAATGTGCTACACTTATAATTATCATTTATATTTGGCAATTAATAAAAATTATTGAAGAGTTGATTATTATTAATAATAGAAGTATGTTAAAAAAATCATATTTTGTTGAAATTAATTAAGTATCAGAATTTTGGATTAGATAAGGAGCATGAACCATGTCTGCTATACCGAGGACCACTCTGATCCTTCGCTCAGGTTCTGCAGCTTCCACGTTTACCCTGTACTTTTCTATGTTCTGTATTTAAATAAAATTAAAATAATTTTAAATACTTAATTATAGTAAATAATTTAAATTTAATTTAATAATATTTATTATTCAGTTTAGATTGAGTAAAATTATCAATTGGTCAGTTTAAAATAAATTTTCGGATAATCATGTTTTATTCGTTTTATCAATTTAATCTTAATTATAATTTAATCACAACAAGAAATTTAATATTACCGACGGTCAAAATCATGTCGGTAATATTCATTTATCGACAGATTTATGACGGCTAAAAATTCATCGAAAATTTGGTTGTCGGTAAAAATTATCGATGGATTTAATAGTTGATCAGATCTGTAGAGTTAGAGACGATACTCTAACCACTAAGTCTACTAGATTTTTTGATAATAATTTACAAATAAATTATATTTATATATTTATGTATTTATATATTTATATATTTTTATATTTATATATATATATATATATATATTTATTTATATATAATTAAATATTTATTTTTTAAAATTATTTAATTTAAGAAATTATTATAAATTAATTTAATTATGATTAAATTAAATCATTAAATAAAAAATATTTAATTTTTTAATTAGTTGAATGTTTACTTGATTGTTAATTTACTGACGGATATATCCGTCGGTAACTAATTATTATTTTACCGACGGATATATCCATCGGTAAGATCAAATTCCACAAATATTTTATATCCATCGGTAATAATTATTTTCCGATCGAATACAAATCCGTCGATAAATATTCGATCGAGTAATACGCGATTTTCTTGTAGTGAATTTAACATAGATCAAAGTAAAAAATAAATAAAAAATATCTAAATCAATGATAAATTTAAAAAATATTGTGAAAAGATACCTATGATGTTTATTAAAAAATTATTTAAAATATTTGTTAGACTAAATGACTTAATTAATTTTGTACAATTTAACAAAAATGTTATTGAATTAATTATTAATTATATAGAATTATCAAAAATGATATTCTATTGTTTTCCTACGACATGATATTCCACTAATACGGATCTTATTTTCTGAACAGAAGATTCACTTCGTTGAAAAAGAAATTAAATAATTGAGAATGCATTTTTGTCAAATATTAATAAAATATTTTCTTATAAATTAGTCTTTTTAACACAAAATTAAACTTATAACATATATAATCTATCACAATTGTAAGTTCTTTAGCCTAACGGTTAATTATTTTAGCAGCAAGCAAAAATTTTCATCTGAATAACATTTATTCAATCAAGTAGCAAGCATTGAGAACCAAGTTGTTCTCAAATACAAACACATGAGATGATTGAAGTGGACAAAATAAAAAAGAAAAATGGTGGAATCACAAAGATTCAAAGGCGAGTAATGTGAAAGGAACCGTGCCTCCATTCTCAGCCACATGCTATACTAGTGGTGGCTTGCTATTATCGTTTGTGAGTAAAGAAAAATGGAAAATCGAGTGAAGAAAAACTACAAAAATGTGGGTTAAGAATCTCATACTTCTTGCATCTTTACTTTTATACATTTTCAATGGTCACTGCTTATTTTATTTATTATATTTTTTAGTTTCTTAATTTTATTTATGATTTTTTGGTCTCTTTATTTTTTTTTTCCTCAATTTTATTTCTTCGTTTTCGAAAAACTTTAAATTTGATAAAATATTTTATTTTGTGTATGTTATTCTCTTTTCTTTTCTTTTTTGTTATGGGTTGGATTGGAACTAGTTCTGGCCCAACAAAAAGTTGTATATGGGCTTACAAATAAACTTGTTTTTTTTTTCTTGTGGGTCTCTAATGTATGAGCCAAGAGGAATGAAATTATTGAAGGAATAGAATAATGAGCAAGTAAAGCTACAATACAAATGATTCAGAAGTTAAATATGAATACATTTTGATATCATAATAATAATAAATTATGACATGTTTATTCTTTATATGGTTTTTATTTTCTAAATTAAAAGCAGTTATAAAGTTAAAATCGAAGGTGTTATTATATATGCATCTCACTTTACTCCAAAGCATTCTGAGATAAAAGAGGGGAAAATACCAAATGTTGCAACGTTTTGATAATGTAAGAGAAAAGCCTGTATCTGAGAAAAAACACGAAGAACCAACGCACAAAAACACATGCAACTCAGTCTTTATTAAAGGCAATCTCTTTCGACTTTAATCTGAGTTTTTGTTCTGCTTCAGCCTGTTAACACTTTTGCATGTGCTCAAGTAAAAGGTGTAGTTCTGGACTTCTCAACCAGCTTAACTATAATTTTATGACTATGAATTTTACATATTATTTTATAAATGCGTGTAACTTTAGTTTTTATAGAATAAGAATTTTATATTATTTTTTTACTTTATAAAATTAAGGATATTATTTCACTGTTAATAGAAAATCTTCCATTTTGTTCGTCTGTTTTATTGTCTTAAAGTTAATTAAGATGACAAGGTAGTTTAATTGAATTTGTTGACAAATCAACTTTTTTTTTCTTATTAAGCATAGATTAACTTAATAGACAAGATAAAATTGATTAGGTATAATGGATGAACTCATCAATCTCTTTATTTTAGTCTATTTATTTATTTTTGTTTATTTAGTCTAACTCATTTTCATCTTTCTCATCTAATATATCAATATGGTAAATCAAGGATAAGATGAAACGGACATGTTGATTAATTAAAAAAATATATATTAAAATTTAAAAAAAGAAATTATAGTTAAAATTTTTTTAATTTTTTGTTATGTTGTTGAAATATATATATATATATATATATATATATATATATAATATTATAATTTAAATTATAATTATTAATTAATTAAATTTAAATTAATTATAATCAAATATTTTAATATATAAATATAATAATTTTTTTAATATAAAAATTAATTAAAAAAAATTTAAAATTTATTTATATAATTAGCATATTTTTTAAAATATAAATAAAAAAATTATAAGAAAAAAAAGACGAACCATGCCTGAAATCTATAATTTGTGCTATGATGATCAACCCATCGGTAGCATTATACCCCATTTTTGGGGATTAAAGAGATAAACTTCTAATCCTATTTTATTATCCCATTATTTTTTTTTTTAACTTTAACATTTTTCTTTAATTATTTTCGCAAGTGATTGATGATTTAAACAGGGCCCATAGATACGCGTGCAACCCAAAACCAAAATATAAGAGTTGTCTTTGACTCTTTTCGCAAATCATCTTTTGCAGTCTCGTTTTTTCTGCTTTTGTTGGCACTTTATAATGTGCTTAAAATCAATGGCATGGTATGGTCCACCAATTCATCATGTCACCAAATGGGGAAGACTTCACTTTCTTCTTTTTTTTTCTTCCTCTCCCAAAAAGAAGGTTAATTGATAATGCTAAGTCACATAATAATGAAGTTCTTTGAGAATCACTTTTCAAGTTAAATCGAATGTAGTTGTGGCCTCCTTGTCATAGTGTAGAAGGTGGACTTAATTTGCGGAAGGAAGTCAAGGTTTATCAAATGAACCTAAATAAAAGGAGCAAAGATTGCTCACAAAGAGAAGAAAAAAAAAAGTGAACATCAAATTTATTTCTTGGAAAGAGAATAACGTGATTTTAATATGACTAATTAAATGACAATATTCTTAAACTAATAAAAAAATTAGACACTAGTGATTAATTTAATGGATGCATTTTAAATTTTAATCAAATTTTATTTATT